CCAAAAAAAAAAAAACCACCACCCAACCCTGAGCGCGAGCGAAGCAGCGAGCCAGGGCTGAGGCGAGCGGGCGGGCTCGGGGCGCCGAGCAAGAGCCGAGCCCCCGAAAATCCGCCTGCACCCCGACTATGCTAAATGTAACCGGGGAGCTCTCAGGTAAGCCCACGGCGCTGGGTGCGGGGCGGGGGGCTGCCCCAACTCCCCTGACTGCATCTGCCGGGAGTTTTTTTCCCCTTTCCAAACCGACTGCTGATTTTAATTTGATGTGATTAAAACGTCTGTCTGGCTTTGGGATTGATTTAAGACTTTCCCCTCTCTAGGTTGGGTTGTTGTTCTTTTTTTTTTCTTTCCCCTTTCTCTCGTTCCCTCTTTTCCATGCATGTTTGTGATTACTAGGGAGGGAACCGCCGCTGAGCACGGAGAATTAAACCCCGAGACTGACAGAGGGGAGGAAAAGGAAAGTCGGTGGGATTTATGGGGGGCAGGAAGAGTTAGTTTTCCTGCCCGGGGCTGGATTTCGGGGCTTGACACCRAACGCCACCGCTAGAGCAGGCGAGATTCCTCCGGGACACAGCCGCGGGATTTTGGGGTGCTGCGGAGRGAACGGCATTGTTCCCCCGGCCCCAGCGGCCACCGGCACCCCCGCGGCTGCTGGGGGGCCGACCGGCCTGGCGGCACACCGGGATCGGGGGCTTCTCGCCCGGAAAATGCTGGAAAACACCCTTAAAAGGTCAAAGTGTGGGCGCCGCGAGGCTCCCCGAGCTCCCGGGCGGCGGGACCGAGGCCGGGGCAGCACGAGGCCGGCGCCGGTTCGGCTTCGGCTCCAGCTCCAGCTCCCGCGGTGCCGGCGTGACGCAGGACGGGCGAAGCGGGGCGAGCGCCGGGGAACCGGAAAAGCGAGGCCGGGATCCCCAGCGGCTCCATCGCCCTCCCTCGCCCCTTCCTCTCCCCCTTCCCGCTGCCGCCGGGGCCGGAGGACGTGGCCGAACCGGTGGCACAGCCGGTGCCGAGGCCTGCGGGRACGGGCGGGGAAGGGGACGCCGAGGAGGAGGCGCGGGGCTACAGCTCGGCCGCCGCAACCCTGCTCCCGCTTTTGGGACATCCCCGGCCCTGGGCTGCCCGGGCGGTGTCCCTGGCAGGGCTCGGGGACTCTCGGCATCCCCGGTGTCCCCGTGCCTATTTAACAGGCGGYGCGAGGGCACGGTGGCGGCCGCACATCTGGGCTGCATTAGGCGCAGGCTCCGCAGGGAAATGCGGAGGGCTCTGCTTACAGGGCCGCGCCGGGGGGAGATTTATGCCCTGCTAAGTGGCACCGAGCCTCATAAATCATCCCCCGGTGTCCCGTCCCCCCCGCGCCCTGCCCCCGGCGGCAGCGCCCGTGTCCCTGTGCCACCGTCCCAGCGTCCCGGTAGGCACATGCGGATGCACTTCTGGATGGAGTTTCTGGGATAGCTGGGAAGCCGCTGGCCCAGCAAGTGTTGTGGCTGCGTGTGGCACGTGGCCTGTGGGTGACAGAGGTGTCCCGGGTTTCACCAGGGTGCTGTGGGGACATCAGGGCATGGCTGTGCCCGCCGGAGCTGCTGGTCCCACACTGACGCAGCCAGGCAGTGTCCTCATGGTAGGAGATGCCAGCAGTGGCAGAAGGTCTGGAGGTGCCAGGGTGTGTCACCCAGGGCTCTGTGGAGCCACCTGGGCTGGCACTGGRGGTCCCCTGCCCCACTGGAGAGCGGCCAGCCTGGCTCTGTGCCGTTGAACCCCTGGAGCAGTGCCTGTGGGCTGTGTTACTCCTTGACCTGCTCCTTAAACAGYGGGAAGCGATCGAGGTGCCTCACACGGCTCCGGGGTGCTGAGCGTGCGTGCGGGGCAGCGGGGTCTGGTTGGGATTAGGGGCCTGTGCCCCCCTCGCCGGCGGGGGTGTTTCCATCGTGCTGCTGGCTGGAGCCGGAGCCGGATGGGAAATCCAGGCCCAGCTAATTACGGCCTCGCTGGAGTCTCCCGTGCGCGGCCGCATTTATAAACACACGGAGGAGACAGGATGTAAACACTCAGCGCCGCGAGCGCAAGCACGGCCGGCATTGGGGGGGACGCGGGGCCACGCACCCCCTGCACCACCACCCGCTCCTGGCACAGTGGCTTTGCCATGGGATGGGATGGATGGGATGGGATGGATGGGATGGATGGGATGGAGTCTGGTAGAATGCGAGGGATGGGATGGGGATCCTACTGTGGTGGTTGTGGGTGCTCTTGAGGAGCAAGGACACACATGTTCTTCCCGCTGGACCTCAGGGAATGCTGTGTCCATGATATCCAGGTGTGGGACATGAGCATCCTCATGTCCCCACTGTGCCAGCTCCACAGGGCTGCTGCTATGCCATGGTGTCACCTCCCCAGACACAGTGCCATGCATGTGTTTGAACTCTGTGCACGTTTGAACTCACAGTGGGGTTAAATGCCAGCAGTGTGGGGACACAGATTTGTCTGTCCATGAGTGCTTGAGTGTCACCCAGTCCAAGCCCCTTGGAGCTGGTGGCCGCATTGGGCTGGGAAACGCCSCACGGAGGGTAAAGTGGTGCCAGTTGGCGGGTGGAACAGCAGCAGTGGGGACAGGGCTGCTTTGTCTTCAGTGCCACAGTCATGCCTGGCCACCGCGAGACCTCCCGTGCTGGCCCCAGGAATGGGGCTGCGGGGTGGGATGGGGCTCTGCTCGCTGCTGGACGCCAGCCCATCAGATACGGCAGCTCCCGCCGCGGTGTCGGGGGCTGGCTCGGCTCTGTGCGCTGCCAGGGGCTCCAGGGGCAGGGGGTCTCCCCTTCCCAGCTGCTGCCCCCGCCACCAGGGTTTCGGGAAAGCGGCTCTGGGCGGGCTGTGGTCGCTCAGCCCTCAGTGGCTCTGCCCACAACATGCCCAGAGAACAGCTCACCGGCTCTGTGGCCGAATTCCCGCCTCGGCTGCTCGCCGGGAGGTCTGGCCAGCACTGCCGCCCGCGCTGCAGCACGGGCTGCAGGCCAGGGGTCCCGGCGGTGTCACCCCAAAGGCGGGTGAGCCACATCCCCGCTGCCATGTGTGCGAGGGATGCCCGCGGCMCCGCCGGTGTGTCCGGTGTGGGTGTCCCAGGATGCTGCTGGCAGAGGCAGGGGGTGCCTGCTCCTGTGGTCCCCTGTCACTCCAGCTCCTCGGGTGTCCCCGGGGCCCAGCGGGTGACCCCGGGCAGGCACGCCATGAGCTGCTTACGTGGGCTGGGAGCATCCTGGCTGCGCTCCAGGGCCGGTTTTGAAACCCTCGGGCTCTTCCTCTCCRACGTCACCGGGATCCAGCTGTGCCGGCTGGAGCCTCCCTCCTCCACTGTCTGTGCCGGTGGATGCCCGGCGCCAGCCGCTGGGACAGGGTGGGCAAGGGACAGTGAGGGCACCTGCTGTGGCTGGGCCATTGTCAGCGCCGTGCCGTGGTCATGGTCATTGCTGCACAATGGTCACTGTCACTGCTGTGCCACTTTCATCATCACTGCTCTGCCACGGTCACCGTCATTACTGTGCCAGCATCACTGTCACTGCTGTGTCATGGCCACCGTCACTGCTGTGCCACAGTCACTGTCACTGCTGTGTTGTGTGTCATGGTTACTGTCACTGTTGTACCACAGTCACTGTCACTGCTGTACCAGGGTCACCATTGTCCCTGTGTCACGGTCACCAGTACCCATTGCCATCCATTCTGTGCATCCCACCACTCCCATCCCTCAGACACCCACCTCCACCCCCTTCCTCCATCATCGTCACCCTCACGTCCCAGCCACCTGCCCGAGAGCCACCGTGGCTCCATCCCAATCTCACATCCCTGCCACCCCCCCATCCCGCTCCCCGGCTGTGTTTGGTTTGGCGCTGGCCAGGCCGGGGCGGGTGTAAATCCCGCCTGGAAACCGGAGCCGGCGGCGGGTGAGGGTCTGGCCAAAGCAAACACTAGGAAGGGGGGGTTGTGTGTGGTGTGAGTCACCGTGGTCCCCCCGCCGTCCCCCCCCGGCCCACGCTCGCACGCACGCGGGGCCGGCCGCACGCTCCACGCACCGGAACGCACCGGAACGCGGGCAAGTGGTGGCATGTGCCCACCGCGGGGCACCGGGCGAGCCGGGGCCAGCTGGGGCTGCCACGCACGGGCACAGGAGACATGGGGGCACATGGTGTCGCACGGGGTGCCACAGCGTGGTGTAGTGTTTGCACAAACAGGTGCATGGCACCTAACCTCTCACAGGGTGTGTGCACAGCACGTTGCCTGGCGTGTCCCGTGCGTGCCACATGTGTCACACGCTCGTGTGGTAGGTGACACACCTGTACGGTGTCTCACACRTGTGGTGCATCACACACATGCACAGTGTCTGCACACACCCTTGGAGAGTGTGTTGTTCCCCGTGCCAGTGTGATGCACACACAGAAGGTGTGTCCTGGACCTATCCCAGGTGTCACCAGTGTCCTGCACACCCCCGGGCTGTGTCCCAGGTGTGACAGTGTCCTGCACACCCCCGGGCTGTGTCCCAGGTGTCACCAGTGTCCTGCACACCCCCGGGCTGTGTCCCAGGTGTGACAGAGTCCTGCACACCCACAGGGCACTTGCACCCCCACAGCCACACATGCAGTTTGTGGGGACACCCACGGCGGTGTAGCCATTGTGGCCGGAGCCGGGGTGTCCCCGAGGACCCTCGTGCGTCACGGGCGGCCGGTGACGGGGAGCGGTGACGCGCGGGGGCACGGGGGGCTGCCCACAGCGGGAGCCCCGCGGTGCCGAGCCGTGCCAGCGGCCGGTCTTTCCCGGGAGGCGCTGCCGGGAAGGCCGGCTGTGGCGAGCCGGGGGTGCCAGCTGGCCGGAGCGTCCTGGCCGCGGGCCGTGACCTTTGCACAACCGCCGGCCGGCGGGGCCGCGGTCCCGGGCCGCCCTGACGTCAGGCCGATGACGGGGACCCCGCCGGCGCTTTCCGGTGGCTCCGCAAAGGTCACCCCGCGCCCCGGCCGCTCCTCGGAGTCGCGTCCCACCCCCCCAGAATTCCCGGTGGCCCCTCGGCGGGGATCCCCGCTGGGTGCCCGGCCCGCTGCGGCGTTGGCGGTGCCCAAATATATCCCAGGCGTGTGTCCCGGCGGGAATGCCGCGGCCGCGCTGCTCCAGACCATATAAAGGATTGTTGGTGCAGCCGCGGGCGGGAGCGCTCCGAGGGGAGCAGGGGGTCACTGTGCTGAGGTGGGGAGTCCCTGCTGCTCCATGGGGGTGCTGAGGTCAGGGGGGMCCCAACCTGCCCACCTCCGTGCCTCAGTTTCCCCGTTCTCAGACGGGTGACTCAGGGATACTCCGCAGGCTCAGCGGCGCGCACACTGTGCTGAGTTGGGGTGTCCCTGTCACCCTCCCTGAGGTGCTCTGTGTCCCCCTACAGGTGACTCTTGGGGGATCTTCACTTTCCTGTGCGCCGCGCTCTGCAACTTGCCGGCGCTGCCGGCGCTGAACTGCTCCGAGGAGCTGGGCGCCGGCCAGTCCATCCAGCAGACCTACGACCTGACRCGCTACCTGGAGCACCAGCTCCGCACCCTCGCCGGCACCTACGTGAGTCCCCGATGCGCCCCGCGGGATATCCGCCCCGTGCCCGGCTGCTCCCACGCCGAAGGTCACGGAAATGCCTCATCGCCCCCCGGGCGCAGGGCGGCTCCCGGGCACCCTCCCCTCGGCCCATGATTCCGTCATGGGCGCGGGCATCCGCCTCTCCCTCCCCGCCGGCATCGCCGACTCACCCGGAGGTTCCCCGTCCCTGCCCTGGCGTGCCCTCCGCCGGTGCCGGCAAGCCGGGTGCCAAGCGGTGACGGTGGCACTGCCCGGGGTGTGCCGGGAATGTCCGGCTCGGGGAGAGTGGGGGCACGGCGGGGAGGGGGATGTGATAAGCAAAGGGAGAGCTGGGATCGGTGGGGTACGTTCAAACAGGGGACACGGGGGACGTGGAGACTGAGGACAGGGTGGGCACRGAGACCTGACACCTGGCACCCCCYTTCCCTTCCAGCTGAACTACCTGGGCCCCCCCTTCAATGAGCCCGACTTCAACCCCCCGCGGCTGGCCCGAGCCGAGCGGGTGCCCAGCGCCACGGTGGACCTGGACCTGTGGMGGGGCCTGACGGACAACGCCCGCCTGGCCGCCAACTACCGGGCCTACAGCCGCCTGCTCTGCTACCTGCGTGTGCTGGACGGGCAGGTGGGCACGGCCGAGCTGCGCCACCGCCTCGCCCACTTCTGCGCCAGCCTGCAGGGGCTGGTGCTCAGCATCGGCGGCGTCATGTCCTCGCTGGGGTACCCGCTGCCCGCCGGCCCCGCCGGGCCCCCCGCGCCCCCCGGCGCGCACGCGGCCCCCAATGACTTCCTGAAGAAGATGGATGATTTCTGGCTGCTGAAGGAGCTGCAGACCTGGCTCTGGCGCTCAGCCAAGGACTTCAACCGTCTCAAGAAGAAGGTGCCGCCTGCCGTGGTCACCCTGCGGCTGGAGGCGAGGGGGTTCTGAGCGCCTGCTGGGCTCCTGAGCCCCAAGTGCCACCAAGGCCACCCAGGCCCCCTCTACCGGCACCAGCGTACCTTGAGAAATGGGGCTTCTGACCCCAAAACCACCCCACAACCTCATCACCTGGCAGTGCCTTGAAAGATGGGGCTCCTGACATCAAGCATCACCACAGCCACCCTGCAGCCCCTCCATCATCATCGTCATCATACTGTGCCTTGCAGGACAGCTCCTGACCCCAAGTGCCACCATGACTACCCCATGTCCCCTCTCCACCACTAGCGTGCCTTGAGAAATAGGATTTCTGACTCCCAAGTGCCACCAAAGCCACCTCACTTTCATCACCGTGCCTTAAGGGAGGGGCTCCTGACCCTGTATGCCACGTACCACAGCCATGCCACAAGCCCTCTGTCACCACACTCTGCTGCAAGGAATGGGTCTCCTGACACACAAGTGCCACCAAAGCCATTCCACATTCCCTCTCCACCACCAGTGTCCCTTCAAAACCGGGTCTTCTGGCCTCGGAGTGCTGCCAAAGCACGTTCTCATCTGTGCCTTAAAGGGTGGAGTTCCTGATCCCAAAGTGCCACCACAGTCACCCCATAGCCCCTCTGTCACCGCGTTATGTCTTAAGAGACAGGTGTCCCGCCCCCCAGGATCCTGTCCCCTTCCCCAAAGTCTCCAGAGTGGGTGCAAACCCCGCCCATCCCAAAAAGGACCAACGCCCTCTGAGCATAGGAATAAGCCCCGCCCCAGCCAGCAGCAAGCCCCACCCCTGGAGCAGTAGGCTCTACCCTTGGATGGCAATTAGCACCGTCCACTCGCCTGTAGCAAGCCCCGCCTCCTCCCTGCAGCAGGCCCCGCCCACTTTAGCCAAGCCCCGCCTCCCCCACTGTTGCCCATCGATGCAGAGGTGGGGCGAGGCCATGGGGTGCGGCCGGGGCGTGGCCGCTGTCCCGGTGCGTCTATGAGTGTTTATTTATTGGAGATGTTTATTTATTGGGGTATTTATTGCAGAAGATCTATTCTTGTATGAACGAATAAAAGCCTTTCTCCAGCKCCCCGCCCCGCCCCGTGCCACACCCCACTGGGGACCAGCTCCAAACCTGGAGCCCCGTGTGGAATTTGGAAGGTTCCCCCCGTTCTATCAGTAGGGACCAGACTGAACATCTCCGTATTCCAAGCTCAGCATGAAATATGGGGTGTTCCCATCAGTGCCATCAGTAGGGGATCAGAGTGAGCAGCTCCAAACTGAGCTCAGCTGGGGTGTTTCCCTCTCTCAGAGGGTGGGGATCCAGGCTGCCCCAGGTAACCCCACCCCGAGGACACGCACMCCCACCTTGGCACCCCTCCTTGGGCACTACTCGGGGGTGCCCAGTATCATGTAGAAGGTGCCRGGCTGGGGCACGAAGCCGACGGCGCACAGGGCACGCTGCGAGGCTGTGTTGTGGGGCAGCACGGCGCCGTAGATGGGGAAGCCGCGGGCGTGCAGCTCCCGGCCCAGCGTGGCCACCGTGATCCCGGTGAGGCCGCGGCCGCGCCAGGCGGGCACCGTGTAGCCGTGGCGCATGCAGCTCTGCCCGTCCAGCAGGCTCCAGGACACCGGGCGGCCGCGTGGGTCCAGCAGGCAGGCGGAGGGCAGAGTCCGCACCAGCCCCAGCAGGAACGCCCGGCTGCGGTCATTTTTCCCCAGGGCCCACGTGGCGTTGAGCAGCGGGACGTGGGATGGGGACACGGGCGCCAGGCGCAGGCCCTGGGGCACCCTGCAACGGGGCACGGTGAAGAGGGGAATGCTGACCCTGTTCTGAGAGGGGGTGGCAGATGGGATGGGATTGGGAACTCCTGTGCCACCCAGGAATGGGATTAGGGATGCCTATGCCACCCAGGGATGGGACTGTGGACCCCCTGTGCCACCCAGGGATGTGCTCAGTGTGCCCACCCGTGTCACTCAGTGATCCCTGTGCCACCCAGGGATGTGCTCAGTGTGCCCACCCATGTCACCCAGTGATCCCTGTGTCACCCAGGGATGTGCTCAGTGTGCCCACCCATGTCACCCAGTGTTCCCTGTGCCACCCAGGGATGTGCTCAGTGTGCCCACCCGTGTCACCCAGTGATCCCTGTGCCACCCAGGGATGTGCTCAGTGTGCCCACCCG